GAGGTGAAGGATCGACATTCTTACACGATACGGTACAAAAAAGCATGACATGGTAAGCAGAAAGCCATGGCTGAGGTGTATGGTGATTGGGAGGATTCGTATGCTTTACTCCCTAGACTTATGAGAGCAATGGAGGAGTCCAATCCTGGGACTGTTTTCGTCCCAGTATACAACAATGTATACACTGAAGGTCAAGAGTTGCCCATGTGGACGTTCCATATGGACAACGGGGCCAGATGGGGCATTGCAACTACCAACCATGGAGAAAGTATAAATAATGTGTACAAGGGTCTTCGAGCGATGCCTATTTCTGTCATCATGGAGATGTCTTACTGGAAGGTCAACGAGTGGCGAGTTGCTCGGCTACAGCAAGCTATAGGGAGGGAGTTGCAAGGTCATTCAATAGCACATGACGTATTCGCTCAAATGCAGAAGAACGATGAAAAATCAAGTAAGCATAAGGTTGTTCTTTTTGACCGCAGTGAAGGAATATTCGCTGTCGAAACAGGTATATGGGGTGGAGGGAGACGTGGTCACAATCGTCAAACGGTGAAGTTGCACTACGAATTAGGGGAGTGTTCTTGTCAAAAGTATCAGAACGAAAGGATACCCTGTTCACATGCAATGGCGGTTGCTAAGTCAATAACCATGAACAGAAACAGCCTGGTGAGTCCTTACTACACTGAACAAGCGATACGGAACTCATATAATGCAGCTTTGAGCCCCATGCCAGATGAAGCGTATTGGCCTATATACGATGAAAAGTTGATTATCCCACCGCTGCACCTAAAACGCACCAAAGGCCGTCTAGAGTTGAAAGGATACACAATGAGATGGATCAAGTTGAACGGACGAGAAGGGGACCGAAGCGATGCTCTAAGTGCAGACAACCTGGTCACGACAAGAGGCGTTGCCCAGGACAACCATCAACTTAATTTGCATTTACTTGTATTCTGCTACTAAATTGATCGCTTGTTTAATTTTTCATTACCGTTTGCATTTGAAGTCCAGTATTTTGTTAACTCTAAAATGTTCTCCTTGTCGATACGATCGCGCTGCCGCAAACGGCTCGTTATTTCGACCTCAAACGAATAAGATACGCGCGTTTTAGTTTTTAGTACGCAAAAGATACTTTAACGATACGATCGCGCTTTGAACTTACTTATCTCACTCGTTTGAACTCGGAATTGGGATCTGTAAAATTCTATGTGATCGTGGTTGATTTTCCCAACTTTTTCGTGTTGAGGGGAGATACTGATTCTTGATAAAATGATCCAGAAAATTCATTCGACAACTTAGGTGCGTAGGATAGTTTTTAGACAATGCAAACTCAAATAAGAACACCTAAAAAGCACAAAAACAACATGGATAGTTCACTACAATGATAAAACGATAAATTCACTCATTTGCTTCATTTTGGCCCCCATCTCCACCTCTTCCTCCTCGTCCTCCACGACGTCCTCGACCCCTTCTTCCCCCTTCCGCCGCTGCTTCTTGGCGGGCTCGCTCAACGGCTGGTCGCGGATTTCTCTTGACCCGAGCCCCAACTGGGGTTACATATGGTGGTGGTGGTGGCTGAGATGGACCGGTAGCTTGACGAATGATCGGGGGGAACGGAGTTTGTTGTTGCGGGGTCTGATACATCGAACTCTGTTGCTGATGTTGGAATTGAGAGAACCCATGAGAGAAAGTGTCCCATTCCTAAGATGCTCCACGACTCGATGACCCTCCACCGGCATCCGCTGCAGGTGCCCACTGGTACTCGAACGGTTCAGGGAGCTCGGTTGCTTGAGTTGTACGCACCTCTTCGAACGTAGGCAGAGGCCTGCGTTTGCTCCTTCGTGGGGGCTCAAGAGGGGGCACAATGGGTGCATCATCACGGAATGAGGGTCGTGCCGGGGCAGGAACGGGAGGATATGCCACGACATCCCTCCTTTGCTCTCTGGTGCAACTCAGGAGGTTGTTCATAAGTCGGGTCAACCAAGTAGTCTTCCGCTCATCCATGGTTGGAGCACTTTCGAGAGTGTACTTGGTGTGTTCCAAACCATCAACCTAAGGAAAGCACAAAATATATAAAATTAACTAAACCTTAAAATAAATATATTTTAGAATGAGCGAGATTAGGATGACTTACCAACGAACCCATCACAGCACCTTGCTTTGACACCCATCTCATGGTGAACTTCCGATACCACTGCATGTACCCATCGTGGTAGCCCATCGGTCTCGTCTCCGGCATCCCTTGCACCACCCATTGGTGTCGATTCTCCCAGATGTTGATGTAGAATCCATGCTTTCGCTGCCAGTTCTTTGACGAATGTCGGAGGTCCATAGCATGTAGCTCCCTGAAACCTGCTGGCGGGTCTTGTGGAATTGGTTGCTCCATTCGATATTGCCTCAGGGATCGATCGGGTAGGTGCCATTCCACCATGTGCCAGCAGATTAATGGCACCTTGCACAACCATGTGTCGTGATCCAGAGGGTGCCTAAGATGATGCAGCTCAACCACTTCACGTGGATATGGATCCCATATAACCTATATCCATTCAAAAAATCGGAATTAACGACCATTTACTTTGACAAAATTTAACTTGTTCAAATATGGACAAAACATGATTACCTGATTCCACCATGGTTTATCTAACTCAGAACGATAAAACAGTAACGAATGCTCAGGTTGATGGTCATTCGTATTTGCTCCTATCCACCTTGTAAGTAAAAGTACGGAATCAATTTAATTGAAATATAGCTAAGCATATAATAAATTAAATTGGTCTAAGTACGGAATAAATTTAATTTAAATCTAGCTAAGCATGTAATCAAAATTAAATTGGGCTAAGTACGGAATAAATTCAAATTAAATCTAGCTAATGTAATAAAATTTAAATTGGGCTAAGTACGGGATAAATTCAATTTATTTCTAGCTCAAGCATGTAATAAAATTTAAATTGAGCTAAGTACGAAATAAACTTACTTGACACCGAATGGGAGATTTTGCAGAAAGTTGAGCTCATCATCGTTTCTCCGGTATGGACGTGGGTCGAGAGGTGCGAACATTGGAAGATGCTCCCATACCCACAGTTGTAGGATGAACATCGCAGCACCAGCTTGCTTTGCCCCAACCTTCGAGCAAGTACACAGCTCCCGGTATACGCCCGCTAGCACGGCCGATCCCCAACTCTTTTGCCCGATTGCATCCCAATCACCTGTGAGCAACTCCAACCATATGCCTTGAATCCACCGGTTGGACTTGTCGGGGAACAAAAATCCACCCACCAAACCAATGAGGTAGATGCGGGCGTAGCGCTCGACTTGTTCTTCCGGTGTCTCATCATTGATTACAACCTCTTGCTGGATGTGAGACACCAGCCACGGGACCGACACTTGGCCCGCATTCAACGGTGGATGCCCCCGTCCTTGGATTGGAGTGGTGGTCGGCATGTCAAAGCCCAAACGATCACGTATGAGCGGCCCCCAACCTCCTTCGGGTTTGGTCTGGGGACCAATGACGGCATCCCCAGAAATAGGCATCCCGGTGAGGATCGCCACGTCTTCGAGGGTGATCGTCATTTCCCCCTCCGCAAGGTGGAACGTATGGGTCTCGGGACGCCATCGTTCCGCCATTGCCGTAAGCAGATCGTTGTCGATTTCGATCCGCAAGAAATGACGCAACATTCCCAAACCTGTCCTCGCTATATAGGGCTCCAACCTTGGATGCCAAGCGGGCAAGTTATTGGTCCCTTTATGAACCACGGGAACAAGCGATTCCTAAAAAAAATAGGGAAAACAACAATTTATTAGATTAAATAAAGCAAAATAAAACCTTAGAAAATAATAAAATAAAGCAAGAATACTCAAAAAGTTACCGGATTGTTATCCCAAATAGCACGGGAGCGATGAGCTTCTTGATCGGTTAAGAGACTCGCATCCCTTGGGCCATAATGGATATACAATCGAGGATCGTATATCTCGGCACCCATCTATTAAAAAGTAATGAAATCAGAGATTGTTTTGATAAATAAAACAAAAAATCATATTCTTTCGATTAAAAAAAATTCTTAAACAAAAAACCTACACGAAGAGCCTCTTCGTCCATTTTTTGGCGTAGGCCGGACAGAGGTTCGACGAGTTTAGGTTTGTAAGGGACGAGAACTTAGCGGGACGGGGGCTTTAGGGTCAAACTCTAGTAATTCTTTCTGATGTGGAAGATCGGACTTAGCCGCAACCACAGAGCATACTTAGAACGAGACTAGAGCAAATAAATTGAGGGAGGAAGAAGTGAAATGTTTGTGGGGTGAGTTGAAAGTGAAAGGGGAAGGGGGTATTTATAGTTGGGGGAAGGGGGGGAGCAGTCTGCGCAGCAGTTATTAGGGGTCCATTCACCGCGTTTGAGGGACGCGGTGAAGGCCTCGCTGTTCCCAAACACGGTTTCTCCGTGTCGACGTGGCTAGCTGTGAGGCGTCGGATCGTGGGAAGAAAACCACGATCCGCACCTCACCGCATCTAACGGCCACGCTGAAAGCACAATGGCGTGGATCGCTGACGTAAACAAACACGGGGTATTCACCGTGTTTGTCTAACGCGGTGAATGCCCCGCGTCTGTCCACGTCAGCCTAATCACTGTGGTCAACTAAAACGGTGAAGTAATCACCATTTTGTATTAAAACGGTGATTACTTCACCGTCTCAGTTTAAAACGGTGATGCATTCACCGTTTTAGTTTAAAACGGTGAATACGTCACCGTTCTTTTTTAAAACGGTGAAATTATCACCGTGTTTGTTTAACGCGGTGATAATCTTCACCGCTTTTGTCAAAAACGGTGATGCTCAAACATGTGTACTTTTGGAAATTTTTTTATAACTTATGTATTTTGGAAATTTTTTTTAATAACTAGTGTACTTTGGGATTTTTTCCATTTTCGCAAATACGGATAAAGTCAGGGGGCACGAAGTGAAATTAAGACCAACTAATCCCCGCACATAATCTAATCAGATTAAGGCGGGAGATTAATTGAAATTTGATTAGCCTTCCTGTTTCCGTACTGTCTTCCACAAAGGCACAAACCAAAGATTGGGCACTCCATTAAGCCTCCATTAAACCTCTCTTCTTTAGTTCTCTTTCTCATCCACTCTCTCGCAGAGGAAAAAATAACAACTCCGTCTGCACAGAAAAAGAGGAGGGGAGACCAAAGCGCCATTCCGCGCTACCCAACACTCTCTCTAGTTCCTTCTTTCCTCCCTCTTCTTCCTCAGAGTATCTATCTGGCAGCGACGGTTCTTCTTCTCTCAAACAGATTTTTCGCCATCGGAATTCTCCCTAATCCCATGGCGGATCTGTACGGTGCAGCTCCATCCCCTCCTTCCGCCGCCCCGCCTCCGCCCACCGAGACAGAGGAAATCTCGTCTTTCCTCCACCAGTTCCTCCACAACACTTCCTCCGCTTCCTCCCCCAAATTCATGTTCCAACACCCTCACTTCTCATCTCCGCCGCCGCCAAATCAGCACCACTTCCCACCTCCACCGGACGCCGCCCTGCCGCTGGAGTTCCTGGATCGCCACCACCGCTCCAACTCCGGCGTCAATTTCTCCGATCCCAGTCTCTACTTCGGCAGAGATCCCCGCGGTGTCGAGGACGCTGCCGCCGCCGACGCGGCGGCGGGATCGAAGCGGGGATGCGTGACCGTGGAGAATGATCTCGGGTCCGGCGATTTCAGCTGCGACAGTGGGGTGAGATTGGGAATGAATTCATGCCTCTTTTTTTAGGTCTTCGAGGAAAGAATTTATTGGGTTTAGCGAGGGATTATGGGGTTTAATAGTTGTTTAATCTTCCTAATTAAGGAGTGTGGTTTAAATCTTAATTTAATATGGATATCCATTGTTTAAGGGCGGAGAAGGGTCAGAGATGCCTGCGGAGACAGGAGGAAAGCCTCGAGGCTCGTCCAAGAGGAGCAGAGCAGCAGAAGTTCACAATTTATCTGAAAAGGTTAGGCCGTTTTCAGCTAAAAAGCATAACAGAACAGTATTAATTATCTTTGTTTGACATCTAAATTTGAATTAATTGTTTGGGTTGTACCTAATTATCTTATCCTGAAATGGGTGAGCAGAGGAGGAGAAGCAGGATCAACGAGAAAATGAAAGCTTTACAGAACCTGATACCAAATTCTAACAAGGTGAGATAAAAGGTTCTCGTCTCTGAATTGAAAAGCTTTTTTGGTGGGAGTTGACTGATTCTTGATAGAATGTTCTGCGGCTTTTGCTTGTCGTATTCCTTGTATTAGACGGATAAGGCATCCATGCTGGATGAAGCCATTGAATACTTGAAGCAGCTTCAGCTCCAAGTCCAGGTCCGTTATCTTTTCCCCTTTAAATGGTTGATGATCATATGTAGTAGTTAGTTCCTAGTCTGAAGCTTATCTGTCACAACCAGCAAAGGTAATGCATGGATCCAAAAGCTTGGATCTTGGTTTACCTCATGCAAATGGTATCACAGTGAACTAAGGATCTTGGTGAGTCATTCAAATGGATCTAGCTGTTGAAGTGTTTGACATTAGAAGTTTATGTCTTGGTTCAGACCTTACCATCTTGTTATACTTTGCCTGTCTAGTTGGGATGAAATGAATGAAGCATCAAATTGATGTTCTTGCACTAACTTCTAATGTGCGACCATAAGTCAATCCCTACCGGAACTATAAAGGCTTGAACTTTATTCTCATGTGCTTGCCACCTTCTTGAAGCCATGTGTTTTTCATTCTTTAAAAGGTTAGAAGTGCAAACCAGTCTCTTGAAAGTCTATTTCAAGTGTAAGTTAGGTCCAGGTCTGAGGTGTGATTGCATAAGCTGACTGGAAAAGATGATCTTTCTGTTGAATTTAGGTTTCAGCTGTGACAATGACGGGTGTAGGGATATCTGTGGTCTCTATCAGAGCTTGTTGTTTCAATCCAATAGGAGAAACGTGCTGCAAAATGTGTTTTAAGGGACCCCTTTTCATTCGTTTTCCTGCCCCCAAATGAGCTTAGTTAGAGTTCAAGGAATGTTATTGTTTTGGTTTATTGAATGTTCGAGGAATGTTATTAACATGTCATTAACATCCATCTTTCTGTCTTTATTGTGGGTTTCTGCAGATGTTGACATTGAGGAATGGATTAAGTTTACATCCAATGTGCTTACCTGGACTACTACAGCCAATGCAACTGCCTCTATCAGGATTGAGTTTCGAAGAAGGAAATGGACTGATGAATACCACTACATTAACGGGTACCTTCTCTGCAAATGAAGAAACCTCTGCTGCTCAACCTGGTCTTAATCTTCCTAACCAGTGTACAGTATCGAATCAGCCACCTTCCGGAACAAACAACATTCCCTCTTCTTCTGAGAACCCTTTTGCTTTCGAGCAGCCGTACCATGTTCTTTATGGGTCTCTTAATCTAACCTCATCATCTCCAAAGGTATAAATCTCAGAATGTTCGTCACTGAATCTAACCAACTCTGTCCTCCTCAAGAGAGCTCACCATTCTTTGTTTTTCTTGTATCTGAAGGAAATCTGCAGGGAAGGTACATCAGCAGCAGCAGGAGCATCACAAGTAGATACTACGAACCGAGCTTTGAATACCTCTTGATCGGGGGTTTCATAAGTGACCCCTTTTGATTAACACCAGCGGCAGGATCGCCTACCAACAGTTACCCTCCTTCCTCGGTTTCTCTCTTACGCTGAATACCATAGAAGCTGCTGCAACTTTAGTACTGAAAGTGAAAACTGCTGCTGTTGCTGACGAATGACACTTTTTGCCTTTTGATGATGTTATAAAGTTGTAACAGGGTATCACAAATTTGTGACAGACAAGGACAACCCTTTGGTTAACTTCAATAGAAATGCTGCTATGTTTCCTCTTCTTCAATGACAAAAAAGCCAGGAGTTTTCCAAGATTAATGAAAGGGTTAGCTAAATTGCATAAAAAATGAAGTGTCGGTGTGGCAAAGTAGAGCAATTATTTGTAGGAGGGAAGGAAGCTTGAGTAAAAGTCTGTCAGTGATGGGAGGAGTGACGTTCACTGAAAATGAAATCATTTCTTCGGCTTAAAAAACCCGAGAAAAGGCTTTCCTGAAACTGAAATGGAAGCTTTATGTTAATTTATTTTGATAATGTTGACTCATATTGTTCAAAAACCATGAAGATGTTACAGATATATAGTCATATAGACGGTTACAGTTTGCAAGAACTAGAGGGATACCCAAACTCTGAAGTTTTCTCTAACCACATCTATGAAACTAGCAGACGCAGTTGTTTTTGCAGGGTTAAAGACACATTTGGTCACTGAGATTACTAAATTGGGACATGTTTAGTCACTAGAAAAAATTAATATAAATTTTAGTCACTCGAATTACTGGAACAGGTCACATTTAGTCACTCTCCGTTAGTCTCCGTCCAACTCTGTTAATGAAGTCTGTTAAGTGCTGATGTGGCAAACAGAGGTGCCTAGTCAGCGCCGTTTTGAGTCGGAAATGGTCAAACCCGACCCGCCACGTCACTAAACCCGCCATGTCATATGCCCAACCAACCCATGCACCCACCCGACCCATAAACCAAACCCAACCTTTCTGATTCCACTTCTCTTCTCCGATTCCTCATTTTCCTTTCCATCTCCCCCCATCTCTCCCTTCTGATTTCTTCCTCCAATCCCATACAAAACCCAATCGTTTTTCACGTCTCCAAAGATTCTGCAACTCTTCAGTACACCACCGTCATCCGCAACTTCAATTTGCTCCAATCCATCAAGCTCGTAATCAATCTCTAACAGGAGATATTCAAAGAAATCAAGGAAAAAGCAACAATTGAAAGGGTTGAATTCTCAGTTCCCAGAGGGTTTCTTCGCGGCCGACGTTCAGCAACAACAACAGTAGCGATGACTTCTTTTCCTGATTCAAAACCGCCGGCTGGGCTTCTAAAATTTTTGGGTTTGAGTTGACAAGAACGGAGTTCTAGTAGCGGGATTACAGATATGCCGGTGTTCGTCTGCGAATCGGACTTGGCGGCTTCTCTCATGGTCGCCGGAGAGAAGGATTGACCGGACTGAGTACGAGCGCCGGGAAGATGATGATGCTGGTCGTCGGATTTCTCGACGGTAGGTTATGGCCGAGCCGACTTCAGATTTGTCGGATGGAGATGTTTGGCAGTGATGTTTTTGTTGTTGTCGATATGGGTTTCTCGACAAGATGGTCGCCGGAGTTGAATGAGGCGGCGCTTTGACTCCAGCTGATTCGTCGCCTTTTTCTTTCGCTTCCAGACGACGGCTGGGGATGCGGGAATGGTTGATTTCAGATCTGCTCCACTTCGGCACTTCCTCACGTCTTGGGTCCGGAGATCCCGATCGTCAGCGGTCTGGATTCATCGATTGTAGCTTGTTGCGGCAAAGCATTTGTAACAACCGGCTTTTTGATTTTTTTTTTTTTTTTGTGAATGTAGATCAGATTGTTGTGGAGAGAAATGAGAAAGGGATTTTTTTGGTTGGGTTGGGATTTGGAGGAAGAAATGTAACAGAGGAGACGAACAGATTTGGTGTTGGGTTAGGTTGAATAGGTTTGCAGGAGGAGGTGGGAGAAAGGAGGAGAGCAGCTGCAGTGGTGGTTTTGGGGAAAGGAGGAGGTGAGAGGAAGGAGGAAGAAAGGTTTGGTTAGGTTGGGTTGGGTCTTGGGTTGGGTTTAATGACGTGGCGGGTCGGGTTTTATTTTTCTTGGGTTATATCTGGCTTATAAGGCAATTCTGTTTGCCACATCAGCACTTAACGGACTTCATTAACGGAGTTGGACGGAGACTAACGGAGAGTGACTAAATGTGACCTGTTTCAGTAATTCGAGTGACTAAAATTGATATTAATTTTTTCTAGTGACTAAACATGTCCCGATTTAGTAATCTCAGTGACCAAATGTGTCTTTAACCCGTTTTTGCAGAGGGTATTTTCATAAAAATTTTAGTGATTTTTTGAAAAGTAATTTTCTTGAATTATGACTGCTACAGATGATGGATATTGTTTTAGACTATTTTTCACCAATGATTAAGTCTATTAAACACTGATTTGGGCGGATTTTTTCCGTGACCATTTTTGGCAGATTCCAAAAGGGTGTACTATTACATATTTCATGCAATTTTTTCAAAAGGTCATTTTCCATGAATTTTGAAAACTACAGATCATGGATTCTGTCTGTGGTTATTTTTCACCGATGATTAAGTCTATTAAGCATCGACTTGGGCGGATTTTTCCGATTCCATTTTTGGCAGATACCAAAGGGGTACCATCAAGATTTCATGTGATTTTTTTGAAAAGTCATTTTCCTTGGATTTTGAAGGCTACAACCTACAGATCACGAATTCAGAACGAGGCTATTTTTTACCGATGATTAAGTCTATTAAACATCAAATTGGGTGGATTTTTTTCCGGTGCCATTTTTGGCAGATTTCAAATGGGTACCATCACAAATTTCAGACAATTTTTTGAAAAACAATTTTCCTTGGATTTTTAAGGCTGCAGGTCACGGATTCAGCCTGATGCTATTGTTCTTTAATGATTAAGCCTACTAATCGCCGATTTGGGCGTATGTTTTTCGGAGGGCATTTTTATAATTTTTTGGCCGATTTTTTGAAAACCCATTGATTTTGAAGGCAACAAATCACGAATTCGGCGTGAGACTATTCTTCACCGATGATAAAGTCTATTAAGCATCAATTTTGGCTATTTTTTTCAAGGGCAGTTTTGGGAGATTCATAAATGGTACCATCACATATTTCAAGCGATTTTTTGAAAGCCAATTTTCAGGATTTTAAAGGCTAAAGATCACATATTTGTCATGTGGCTATTCCTTACCAATGATTAATTCTATTAAAAACCGATTTGGGTGAATTTTTTCCGGGGTTATTTTTTGTAGATTCTAAAAGGGTACCATCATAGAATTTTGACGATTTTTTTGAAAAGATATTTGCCTTGCATTTTGAAGGATACAAATCACGGATTCGAATTGAGACTATTTTTAACCGATGATTAAGTCTATCCATTTTGGCAGAATTTTCCGTGGACATTTTTTTGCAGATTTCAAAGGGTTACCATCACAGATTTCATGCTTTTATTTAGGATTTGGCGTGAGGCTATTTTCCATCAATGATAAATTCTATTAATCGGTGATTTGGGCAAAAAAAATCGGAGAGCATTTTCATAATTTTTAGTGATTTTTTGAAAGCCCATTTTCTTGGAATTTGACTAATATCAATCACGGATTCAGTCTTAGGCTATTTTTCACCGATTTGGGTAGATTTTTTTCGGGACCATTTTTGGCATATTCCAAAGTACCATCACAGATTTGGAAAAAATCCAAAAGTACCACTGTTTAAAAAAAAAATTGCAAAAATACCACCCAATCCCAAAAAATTCCAAAAATACCACCCTTTTTCAAAAACCGCCACCCCACCCAGCGGTTTGGTCGAAAACCGCTTGTCGGGGGCGCGGTTTTGGACCAAACCGCGGGCCTAGGGGGCGGTTATAAAAAAAAAAAAAATTTGGACCAAAACCGCTGGGTGGGGCGGCGGTTTGGCCCAAAACCGCCACCCCGACCAGCGGTTTGGTCCAAAAGTTCGGTCGAAACTTCAAACGAACGTAACTTTGCACTCGGGTATCCGATCGTAGCGATTTTTTTTTTCATTTCGCATAACTTTTCAAGATCTACAACTTTTACTAGGATGAAATTTTCAAAACAGGAACTATTTGTGGATATACGGGACCTTGAGAATAACTTTACCTTTACTTTTCAGAAATCCATGTACATTTTGAAATTATGATTATATTAAAAGTTGTAGATCTTGAAAATTTATGCGGAATCAAAAAAAAGTTCATAACATTCGGAGTTTGGAGCACAAAGTTATGGCCGCCCAAAGTTTGACGAAAGGCGAGACCCGGCGGTTTGCGGCTTGCAAGATCTCAAAAAGTTTGCGGCCTCCATTTTTTGAATCCGAATAACTTTTTGAGATCTTGCAAGTCTCAAACAGTCGGGTTCCGTCTTCGTCTCGAAAAAACGTCATTTGCCACCCCGAACGACCTTTTTTTTTATTTCGTCAAACTTTGGGCGGCCATAACTTTGTGCTCCAAAATCCGAATGTCATGAATTTTTTTTTATTCTGAATAACTTTTCAAGATCTACAACTTTTAATATAATCATAATTTCAAAATGTACATGGATTTCTGAAAAGTAAAGGTAAAGTTATTCTCAAGGTCCCGTATATCCACAAATAGTTCCTGTTTTGAAAATTTCATCCTAGTAAAAGTTGTAGATCTTGAAAAGTTATGCGAAATGAAAAAAAAAATCGCTACGATCGGATACCCGAGTGCAAAGTTACGTTCGTTTGAAGTTTCGACCGAACTTTTGGACCAAACCGCTGGTCGGGGTGGCGGTTTTGGGCCAAACCGCCGCCCCACCCAGCGGTTTTGGTCCAAATTTTTTTTTTTTTTATAACCGCCCCCTAGGCCCGCGGTTTGGTCCAAAACCGCGCCCCCGACAAGCGGTTTTCGACCAAACCGCTGGGTGGGGTGGCGGTTTTTGAAAAAGGGTGGTATTTTTGGAATTTTTTGGGATTGGGTGGTATTTTTGGAATTTTTTTTTTAAACAGTGGTACTTTTGGATTTTTTCCCACAGATTTCAGGCGATTTTTTTTGAAAGACCATTTTCCTTGTATTTTGATTGCTACAAATCACAAATTCGACATGCGGCTACTTTTCACCTATGATTAAGTCTATTAAGCACCGATGTGTGCGGATTTTTCCGCAACAATTTTTGGCAGATTCAAAAGAGGTACCATCACAGACTCACAGTCACAGATATCAGCCTATATTTCGAAAACCAATTTTCTTAGGATTTTGAAGGCTGCGGCTACTTTTCACTTATGATTAAGTCTATTAAGCACCGATGAGTGCGGATTTTCTGCGATAATTTTTGGCAGATTCAAAAGAGGTACCATCACAGTCACATATATAAGCCTATATTTCGAAAACCAATTTTCTTAGGATTTTGAAGGCTATAGATCATGGAGTATTTCTCAGACTATTCTTTATCGATAATTAATTCTATTAAAGAT